GTGTCTTCCTCAAAGACGTAGATGGTGATTCGAATTACAGACGCGGCCTCGCAGGTGTCTAATTATTGCAAAGGGTTGCCTGCCAATTCGCACAAGATCCGCGATAGCTTCAGGAAACGAGATGCAACCACGCGAATGTATCTTTGTATCAGGGTATAGTGAATGGTCGTTTCTCGAAGTGAAATTAAAATAATTAAAATTATATAGTAGGTTAGTTGTTGTAATAATGAAAAAAAAATATGGTGGTTTTATGCTTGAAATGTTTTCAATCGGTGTAAAAATATATAAGAACGTCGCATTAAAAATTAATATTGGAAATTTTCTATTTTTAAACACAGTTAGAAACATTTATTAATATAAAATATGAGCAAAGATGATTTTTTTCTATATTTTTTTCTATATTAATATATATATTAATATTAATATATTATATTAATAAGAAAAAACTAGATTTTATTGAAAATTTTTAAGCAATTTTCGTTCTAGAATTTGAAGGATCTTTGCATATATTTCTTATAGACTTCTTTTTAAAACAATTAATGACGAATAATAAATGTTTCTTTTTTCTTTCTACACAGTAAATTTATATTTAGTAATTTCTGTAACAATTTTTTTAAATTTAAATTTATTATATAACATAAAAAATTACTAAATATTTTAATTATTCATAAAAACTCGCAGAGATTTTAGCATTTATTATTATAAATTTTTTTCCTATAAAATAAATAAAAAATAAATAAAAAAAGCAAAATTAATCTCTCTATCTTTCTATATTTTTATATCTTACAAAAAAATTAAGTTATAAGTATTCCTAAATCAAGATAAACAATGTTTTCTTCTTAGTTCTTTTGTTAAAAACTTTAAAAATCAATTATTTTAAACGCCCGATTGATAAAAATTAATAATAAAATAAAATCTAATGAATGATATTAATCGTTCAACTTTAAAGAAGCAACAATTCATATTCATCAATCTAATAAAATTCAATTGGGCTTTCACCACTGCGATCTGTCCTCCTTCTTCCATTCTTGAATCATTTTTTATCGATTTATATTTTTCTGGTGACTTTGTCAATAAGATTCCTCAGATTAAAAAAAATCAGTTTCGAAACAACGTCCGAGTTACGATTGCTTGCTCTTAACAATCGAAACGAGTATTGCTTGATAGAAAAGAAATTTCATATCTCGAATTTGATGCATTTTTGACTCGAATTGTGGCGAATGAATAAATTTCATGAAATATGTACCAGTCGCGGAGACTTCATTACGTACGACAGCGGCTTATTAAAAATAACCGGCAAACTGGTTCTCTTGTCCGATATGATTATAGTCGACGAAGTAGAATGTCGTAATACGAACTGAAAATTGCAATGCATTTGTTCACTTTACTACTCTTTGTATTATAAGATGATCGACCGAGGTTTATTATATTTAATTTAACGTCTAAATATATCTACGAGAAATTATTTAATTTTTTATTTAGAGGATGTATTAATTTAAAATGTAAAGTGTTCATGTATTGTATAAATGTATTATTCGATTAATTATTATCGATGAATATAAATGAAGGATAATTTATTAAACTAATTATAGTAATAGATTTGAGAAATTGGTATGGTAGTATCTTGTATGATTTGAAAAATTTTATTAATAATATTATTTTCATTATTTTCTTATCTATCTTTCTATTAATAAGTTATTATTAATAATTATTTTTACATCATAATCCCAAACGTTCATATTTCTCATTTTAATTCACAATACATATCCAAAAGACACAATTCTTTAAATCTGACAGACTTTAAAATTATCGACTTAAAATAATATAATACATGTTCAGAAATGTATATTCATTGAAATTCTTCATTGACAATTCTTTCATTGATAAAATTTATTTAAAAACTCTTCCGTTCAACTCGACGCGTTTGAGTCCTGTCTGTAACTCGCGTTCAAAGAAAACATTCGAATAAAGAAATATTAAAATATAAATATTAATAAAGCAGCAAACGTCTCAGTTACCTTTGAATCGCAAAATAATGACTATGGATTCAAATGAATTCTTGTCAAAAGCGCGATATTTATAAAATGATCGATGCCGAATGCATCGATCATTCAGTACAATCTGTTACAAGATTACTCAAAAGGAAGTCGAAATGTCGTTTAACCATCTTGCATGTGAAACAAACTTATGGATGCTTTCTATGAACAGGCACAATCTGTTTCACTTTCCTCGTCGAAACAATGAAAATGGAGCAAAAATATAGTTCAGAGAGCAGAAATATTCCAATTTAAATTTCCATATTGATTCATGTGTGGTAGTGGAGAAGATGTGGTAGGGGATGATGCAT